AACAGGATATAGGGCGGAAACACACATACTGTCACACCCCGAAACCGATGGCGGAAACGTTCCGGGGCGAAGGACGTCATGCGTAGTATCACAACAGTTGTATCATAGTAAGCGAAGTAAACACAACCATTACATTACAGTATGAGTATTTACATTGTTCAAAACATGGTTTATACATAACAGTATATAACAAAAGTAAAAGACGTGACTTCGGAATGTTCCGTCTTCTCCAAAAGTTGGCAAGAGTACCTGTCTATTGATGCCCTGAGAATACAGCAGTTTTTGAAAATATCAGCATAAAGCTTGTGAGTTCATAAACAGTTAATTCTGGTGAAAGAAATGTTTCTTTGATTCTTTGAAAAGTTGTTTCCCAAGAAAATCCTATATTTTCTTATGAAAGAGGTTTGATTATCCATTAGTTATTCGTTAAACAGCCTGTTTATGAAAGGTTAAGTTATCCCAGGAAAATCCTATATTTTTCCTTAAAAGTTGATAATTGATTTTCGATTCTGATACGAGGTGTACAAGTATCTACCATACTTGTATCCATAGATTGAAAAATCCTGGTTATTCGTTGTGAGATGTATTAGCCTTATTACATAAATAAAACTAATAAAATAGGTAGTGAACTAGATCCTAAGGGCGTTACTGATGCCCTCTAGTAATCAAATCGATTATTACTTTGAGGTTAGTTCACTAGTTTCATTATTACGTAAGTAAATTCTCATTACCTAAGTTGTGAGTGCCATAACCGTACTTAGACTGGATAAGGCACGAACGGGGGCCAGTATCTTTTATGACTTTGTCACCCCTGAACCTAACAGTTCCGCTGTAGCTAGCAGCGAGGGTGAGGGATAGTCAGTCCCATATAGATCTATACACAATAGTCACGCTCTCCCTCCAAGAGATTCGGGTTATAAGTCGTAGTCCTCCACTCACGAATCCGAGGGAGTGTTACCAAGGACAAGTCTCAAACTTAGCCTAACAAATTTACAAGTAACAATATTGAAATTCATGTCTATGATTTGCATGAATCCTTTATAAGATAATACATATTATAACGTGATTCACAAGTTTCTTGGTTTAGATTTGAAAACTGTTTCTACGAGTTAATCCCTAAATTGATTGGTAAAACGGTTTTCTGAGTTAAAAGCATACTAAACATAAAATCATTTTATGCAAAATGAGATAATTTTGAGCACAAGTTTCCTTGTACTTTTTCTTGTATTCCCCCACCCCTGAAAACATGAAAAACTCAGAAAAAGCGTAGGGGTATGAACTCACAGTTTATCGTAGGATCCGAAAGCACAATTGGTTACGAGTGTTGAGTGTCAACCGATGTTTCGCACGCAAGTGGATCCTATTAGCATGTGATAACACATATGTGTGTTAGAATTTGGGTGTTTTATGGATAATCATGACGGGAAACCACCCTAAAGACTTGGAAATGCTTGTCGGGACCCTATATGATCAAACAAGGGAGGTGTACGGCCATTTGAGTGGGTGTACGGCCATTTGAGTGGGTGTGCGGCCATGGTGTGCGGCCAGGCTGCGTATGCGGTTGCACACAGGAGTGTGCGGCCGTACAGAGGGTGTGTGCGGCCGTACACAGGAGTGTGCGGCCGTACACTCCTTGTTTGTGCCCGAAATGTTGATTTTTGAGGTGTTCTTGTGCTAATACTAAGTCCTACTAGTAAATGAAGGCCAAACTCTTCGCTTTGGAGAGTTTTAGTGTGTGTGCGGCCACCTTATGAAGGTGTGCGGCCGTACACCTTCAAAGCATGAAGAACACGAAGAACACTATGAGTTTTAGGCTTAGATTCAGGTGTCTTACCACTATAACAAGCTGAATGATGGAGTAGTTCACGTTTTTTAGGCCTTTAGAATGTTCTTGGATGAAGTTCTTAGAGAGAGAAAGTAGTAGAGTGCAGCCAAAGGAAAGGAATGAGTGTAGGGGGTCTCCTTATATATATATATATATATATATATATATATATATATATATATATATATATATGAGGGGGAGTGTGCGGCTGGAGGGTGGGTGTGCGGCTGGGTGTGCGGCTGTCTGGCCGCACACGCGGGTGTGCGGCCGCACACACCTTCTTTGGTGTGTTTGGCCCGATTTTGTGAAGCTACACACTTTCTAACCCTTCTTAAGACTCATGTCTTGGTTATACTAAGCCTTGAGCACTCATATGGACCCACAATTTCGTTAAAAGATGATAAATTCGAGTTTAATATTGATATATAGATCAATTGCACGGGATAAAAGTTTTCGGGTTGTCACATCATCCTCCCGTTAGAGGGAATTTCGTCCCAAAATTCGAACATAGAATACAAATCATGAATTTGGAAAGAGATGAGGATATTTCTGGTTCATCTGGTCTTCGCGCTCCCAAGTGAATTCCGGTCCCCGCTTGGCATTCCAGCGAACCTTCACTATCGAGATGCGACTTTGTTTTGTTCGTTTGATCTCCCTATCCATGATTTCGATTGGTTCTTCCATAAGGCTTAGATTCTCGTTGATTTCAATCTCGTCAAGAGGGATAGCAAGAGTCTCATCGGATAAGCACTTCTTAACGTTCGAGACGTGGAAGACGGGATGAATGTTACTAAGCTCTTGAGGTAATCGGAGTTTGTAGGCTACAGGACCGATCCTGGAAAGGATCTCGAACGGTCCTATGTATCTTAGATTCAGCTTTCCACGCTTTCCGAAACGTATCATGCCATTCCAGGGTGAGACTTTTAGCAGGACACGGTCTCCAACCTGAAATTCCAAGGGTTTTCGTCGTTTATCGGCGTAGCTCTTTTGTCTATCGCGTGAGGCTTTCAGTCGTTCTCGGATTTGCACGATCTTTTCTGTGGTTTCGCGTATGATTTTTGGGCCAGTGAGAGTGCTATCTGGGAGTTGCCCCTTGGCTAGCTGCGTGTCGCCCACCTCAGCCCAGCACAGAGAGGATCTGCACTTGCAACCACAGAGGGCTTCGAAAGGCGCTGCCTTAATGCTGGTATGATAACTGTTGTTGTAGGAAAATTCAACCAAAGGAAGGTGAGTGTCCCATGACGCGCCGAAATCGATGACGCATGCTCTCAACATGTCTTCCAAGGTTTGGATGGTTCTCTCACTCTGTCCATCTGTTTGAGGATGGTAAGGTGTGCTCATATCCAGCTTAGTTCCAAGAGCCTTCTATAGTGACTGCCAGAACCTCGAAGTGAACCTGCTATCTCGATCGAAGATAATGGACACAGGCACACCATGCAGTCGAACTATCTCTCAGATGTAGATTCGCGTGAGTCTCTCCATTTTGAAGTTTTCCTTGATCGGTAGGAAGTGGGCGGATTTAGTCAGTCGGTCAACAATTACCCAAATGGCGTCATACCTACTCGGAGACTTGGGCAATTTGTCTTTCATAATGATGTAAGTTTTCCCAAGTTTAAGACTATCTTTACTAGAAAATAGTTTGCATTACCTTTTATGTGAGGAGGTCACTATATGAATGTAATGGGAAAATGAAAGTATTCAGTAATACTGTATAAAGTAACTACTGGAACACTAACTACCTTAAAACCAGTTTGTTAATTAAGGTTCAAATGTGATGAGATTATAACCATACTTGATTGACTAGTAAAACACGACGATCAAAGACGTCGAAATGGTATGACATTCATCACCCGTAGACCTGCAGGTCCCACTATAGCTAGCAGCAAGGTGTAGGATGGTCAATCCCGTATAGATCTATACACAAATTCACGCTCTCCCTCCAGGAGACTCTGGTTACAAAACGTGACACAGCAGTATATTGCCATGCCATGAAGTAGTGGCTCACATTAATGTTATCTTTGCTATTGTATTAGTGTAGTATGTTCCTTCTGTTGTAGTGTATAGTATGTTCCTTCTGTTCTAGTGTATTGTATGTTCCTTCTGTTCTTGTTGTTGTATGTTCTGAACCCCTAAACTATACCTATTATAGTTTACTAGTATGCTTGTTTTGTACTGTCTCTGATTTGTAGAAAAGACTCGATTATCTACTGAGTTATGATTGTACTTTTAAAAATAGAGTTTTATAAACAACAAAGTAACATAACTTTAAAAGAGTTTTTGAAATGATTTGATCACTTATAAAAGAATAAGAAATCCTTTAAAATGATGTTTATCACAGATAACATTTACACAATTATCATTGTGTTCAACTTGTATTCCCCCCCCCCCCCACCCCACCTTAAAAGCATTTAAAACATTTAAAAGATTGATTGTGGGGGTATGAACTCACCTTATGTGGGTGATTCAATTGAAGATTCGTGTAAGGATGAGAAGTTCCACGAATGAAGTCGATCCCGAGACACAAACGAGTCCTAAATGACATATATTGATACATATAGGCATGTAATTAGCAAATATAACTACAAAGGAGATTGGAAAACAACCTAGGGTGAAAGTATAACTCACCAAAGAAGTGTTGGAAACAAGATAGGAGGTTTATGGGGTGTTCACGGCCCAAATGAAGGATAGTTCACGGCCCAATGGAGTTCACGGCCCAAATGGATGAGTGGTTCACGGCCCAACTTGATGAGTGGTTCACGGCCCACTTGGTGTTCACGACCCAAATGTGAAGAACACTTGAAGATCTAGGTGTTTTGGTGAGTGTTTGAAGATCCTAGTAAGCTTCTATGAAGTATCAAATGAAAGGGGTGTTTAGGAGTGAAAGATGGTGTTCTTGAACTATGATATTTGAGAGAGAATGGAGTGTTTGCGGCCAAGAAAAGAAGAAGTGCAGGAAAAGTGGCTAACATTCATCTATATACCATGAGTTCAGGGCCCATGAGGGTTTCACGGCCGTGAACATGGTCCTTGGCTGTGAACCTCACTTGTTGAGGTTTTATGGCACAAATGTTGTTCTAGGCTCTTGGTTCTTACGTGTTTCGCTTCCTAATACGCAACCCTTACGTATAATCGGTCTAGAAGCCTATAAGTTTGACCTTAAGTTGATATGTTTGACCTAATCCAATAAACAATTTTGGGTTGTCACAGATAAGTTACCATCCCCCATACTAAGACCTTGAAAATCATCTGCACAAACCTTTAAACCATTTTCTAGATTAATTTCTTCCTCCTCTTGAACATGGCCATCCAAATTAGACTGATCGGATTCAGAAGAAGTATCAATATCTTCCCCCTCGTGATTAGAATGACCAATGGATGGAGTCCAGTTAGCCGTTTCAGAAACTGAAACAATAAATTCCATCCCATTTATATCCACCTGAACTTTGCCATCTATCTTAACCATGTCTTTAGTTTTGATACAAACTCTACCAATAGCTACAGTTTCATTTTCATCATCATCAAGAAAGAGAACCTCACCAAATATAGTTGCCACTTTCATAAAAGCTGAAGCATTCCACGCACAAAGTGGTATGAAGGTTTGTATCGATCGGATACATTTCAAGTATAATTAGAAAAGAAAAAACTAATTAAACCAAACCAAGAACATAAAAAGTAAAGAACATGAATTAATCACAAAAGACATCTTTCACCAAGAAATGAGTTGTTCTCACCAAGAGAATGAATGTCACAAATACGGTCACCAAGACGTTAACATTAGGTTTTCACCCTAATGTTGAATATATAATAAACTATACTAGTATATCCCTTCAATCAAGGGATTGTATCTAATATATAATAAGAACTAATCCTTATCACCAAGATATCGGATCTGCTATCTAGTCTATACATATCAGTATAACTGTCTAATATACAAAGATTACATAAGATCACTATCTTGACGCTGATGCTGATGTTGGCGCTGGCGCTGGCGGTCAGCGTATAAGGTGTTTGACTCATCAGATCATAATGTGTAACCTTACAATCTCCCCATATCTGATGATGTAAACAATAATCTTCAACAAACTCAACAAGGTTGTTATTTGAGAATTTTTCAGTTTCAGCGAGTGTTCCCCTTGAGACATATAACTACCAAATTTTGGTTATCAGCAGTAAAAAACAACCAGTGTATCATGAGTCTCAACGGATATCTTCCCCCCTCCCCCCCTTAGATTTAGCTCTTATCTGCTCCCCCTTAAAGTCAGCTTGTCTTACCCCCTTTTTGACATCAGCAACATATATGGTACTGGAGGAAGTGATCATTGTATCAGAGTTGCATCTTGTAATTCAGTGAGTATGATGTCTCTTGATAATATAAGTTTGAACTATCATTCACTGACATAGTATTGCAAGATTTCATCAGCATGTGGTTTCAAACGCTGACTCATTAATCACTTTTATTAGAAGAAAATGGAAAGAGTGGAACGATGTGTGTGATAAGTTGTGGTGTTTTAGCTTAACCATCGGCACATATTTTTCAAGCTCTGATCAGCGTATGGTACATTACACTGAATCATAAAGCTTTATTGAGAAGAAATTAAGTGTTGGATTAGGTGTCTAAGCCCATAACTATTGTTGATATGTACTTGACCCGAGAGTAGCATGGTTCATTTGGGTTGCATATCATCAGGACAATTTGATAGGATGGACTTTTGAGAAGAGGTTATTTATGGTTTATTAATATATTATAAGTTCTAATATATTAATATGAAATCATATTATTTAATTAGTATTGATCAAGAATTAATTTGGAGTTAATTATGTGATCAAAAGAGACTAATTAAATATATGGGGATTGATCATGTAAATCATTCATTCTTATAATGTGGGCTTATGATCCATAGTTCTTTATGTTGGGCTAAACCCATGTGGTGACCCATGGATGATCCATGGAGGTTTAAACCCATGGAGCATGAGGAATATGGAAGGTCATGCACATTAGGGTTTGCATGGTGTAATCCTAATTAAGCCACGCTATATAAGAAGCCCCTAGCTCATGAAATCGGCTACACATGTGTTCTTTTGAAGAGCTAGCCGAATTTGAGTGCAAGACACCTTCTCTCAAGTTATCCTTTGTCCTAGGTGTGTTGTGATTCCATTTGAGGCATTCATATTATTGGTGATAAGTTCTTAAAGGTCCAAGGTTTCCAGCTACAACAAAAGGTATGTCATCTAACTAAAATTTTGTAGTAAAGATACTCCATTGTATACTAGTTAGGATGATGCTTGGGAAAACAAAGTTTGCATGTATATTAGAGAAATCATAGATCCAAAGCATCTAGGGTTTCATGTACACCATAGAAGTGTTAGAATGCTCAAAATCCAACAGTGGTATCAAAGCCTAAGGTTGTTTTCCAATACACTTGATGCTACTTGCTTTCAAAAGCTAAAAAAATTGTTTTTCTGCTTTCTGGACAGTGGAATCGCCGAGTCCACTGAGGAACCCACCGAGTCTCCTCATAAATTTGACCAACTTGCCGAGTCAGTTCATGCACTCGACGAGTTGGTGCTCCAGAATGCAGATTTTTGAATTCTAAGGCTGGAATTGGACTAGGATCATTACCCTAAACTGTTTTTGAACTTATAAACCCGTTTTTGATGTGGTAATGATCATGCTTATCCAATTTAAAAGATAATTGTCAAAGTTTTATGTTTTGTATTAGTTTATATGGTTAGGCTAATTACATAAAATTTGTTTGATATGAATTGTTTTGTTCTTATGAGTTTAATTTAGATCATAGACAAATTATTTTGTAAGTTACAATAGTTGATCTAAATGTTTTTGATGAATTCCATAACTTGTCCTCAAGTTATGGAAAGTGAAGAATCTCATTTTTAAATGTCATATTAAATGGTTTTATGTCATCCATAACTTGAGACAAGTTATGGAACATGAAGAGTCCTTTTCATAAATGTTTTATGAACTCCATAACTTGTCCTCAAGTTATGGATTTTGAAGAGTCTTTTCATTAAAACCTATATTAAACTCATAAGTTATGGATTCCAAAAGTTTTTGAATAGTTCAAAACTTGCCTCAAGTTTTGGAATTTGTAAAGTTTCACTTTTTGAATACTTTAGTTCCAAACCCTAGAGTTTTAAAAGTTAAAATTTTACCCTTATACTATTATAATATTATAGGTTTAATATTTATATATATGTATAAGAACAAAGTCAGTCTTACCGTTAGTAGGCCTCATTCACGAAGCCGGTCTATAAGGGGGTATAAGGTTACTGCCTATAAAATGGCAGTTTAATGGGTGTCCACTCTCACCCACCGCTTCCTTGACTGGTGGAGGGTTGTTAGCCGAACGGGTAGGATAGGACATTAATTCTCATTATAAGTATAATGATAATTATAAAGTAATTAAACTTTATTAAAATTGCCAATCTTAGTTACTTTAGGAAAAATGTGAATATGGTGTTATCCCATGAAATTGCACTTTGCACCTTGCTAAGTAGTTAGTGGAGCGTGTGTGGTTAACCGGCACACTAATCTGGGACTGACAGTGTGTGGCAAAGGGTAGCTTGATGTTAATCATAGATCAATGGAGCGTGTGTGGTTAACTGGCACATTGATTAGGTGGTTGTAACATTGAGTGTACCAGGCTAATTTGCATGGTTATTGACACCTTGTTTGTGATCCTCGGCATCCCAGTCATAAACTTGAAGGGCACAATCGAGATTTAAACATGCCATTGAAACGTTCAATGAATCTCAAAGGATCTAGGAGTTTTAATTCACTTAAAATCTAAAATTCTTTTTCGTTTTTCGTGGTGGAAATTGGTAAATCGTCATTTACCTACCTTCAAATATTTTGCAATAGGATTACGGCATCCCTCTTCCGAATTGTAAAATATTGTGTTGGGTCCTAGCCTTAATATTTCATTTGGGTGTTATATTAAGGACTTAAATCAACTAATTGGAATTTCTCCCATGTAGATGTCTATTCAGACAACTATGGTCTTCCCAAATCTTTTAGAACAAGCTTTCCCCTTGAAGATGATGTTCCACGGTTGGATCGTGGAAATGGAAATCATACTTCACTTCCTCCACTTCCTACAATAATTCTCCCTAAACCACAAGTTTAAGGTCACTCAAATTGTGACAACCGTCAATTTTTGGCCAAGTCAAAGTCAACTAAAGTCAACGAGTCAAACCGGTCAACTCATCTAACCCTTGTATATTAGGGTTTCCATTATATTTCTTATTGAACAACTCACAATCTTAATGCAAAGTATCACTTAGAGTTTTCACGTGTTTCGGAAATTCTAAACCCTAATCAGGGCAAGTGATGAAACTACTCGATAAAACATTATTCCTTAACCCTCGGGGGCATATAACAATCATAACAAGACTTAACGAGGTTCACAAACCTTGCGTTACAAAGCCAAACACTCAAAAAGGTCATAAAAGAAGTCTCTCCCAATCTCTTTCACCCTAACCCTCCCACAACTCTCTAAGTAAGACAAATCTCTCCAAGAATGTGAAATCTCTCCAAGTATGTGGAATCTCTCCCAAATCTCTCTCTGTATGAGAAATCTCTCCAAGTGTGTGAAATCTCTCCTAAATCTCTCCAAGTATGTGGAATCTCTCCCAAATCTCTCTCTTTATGAGAAATCTCTCCAAGTGTGTGTAATCTCTCACAAATCTCTCCAAGTATGTGGAATCTCTCCCAAATCTCTCCAAGTATGTGGAATCTCTCCCAAATCTCTCTCTGTATGAGAAATCTCTCCAAGTGTGTGAAATCTCTCCCAAATCTCTCCAAGTATGTGCAATCTCTCCCAAATCTCTCTCTGTATGAGAAATCTCTCCAAGGTGTGTAATCTCTCCAAATCTCTCCAAGTATGTGGAATCTCTCCCAAATCTCTCTTTGTATGAGAAATCTCTCCAAGAACGTCAAATCTCTCCCAAATCTCTCTCAAAATCTCTCTCAACTTTTCATAACCATTTAGGGCATCCCGACCCTCGAATTTGATGAAAACAGCTCGAAAACGGAACTTCGCTCCACTTCGCCTTCGGGCCCAGCAGCATTAGGACCGAACCTCGGCCCAGAACCGAGAGGTCTCGCAGGTAGGCCATTTCTTCCCGGTTTTCGACTAGTTTTGCATTTTAGGCCCGTTTTTTAATTATTTTAACACGGGATTTTCACCCAAAACTTTATTTTAACATATAAGGCCCCATATTTATTAATTAATCACATTTTTGGGGATAAATCTTATCCAAGAAGAGTGGGTGAAGTACAAGAGGTGGAGTGTTGACTTTTCTTTAGTTTATGACACAAGCAACCACCCACACCCACTTCATGACCAGCCACACTCATTCCACCATACCTAGGTCATGTCAATGTACTTTCTCATCATTTCCAGCCATTTCCCACGTTCTTAGAGCTGGAACGTCCACCCTCTCTCCTCACACTTCATTCATTCTCTCATTTTCCACCAAGAATCACACTCCAAACTCTCTCATCTTTCTCTCTCAATTTCGAGAACTTCAAGGCATACT